AAAATGTACATATTAACACCTACAATGTACATTTTAGTACCTAAAATATACATATTAGCACCTAAAATGTACATATTAGCACCTAAAATGGACAAAAGTTTACCTTTTGAAAAGGTACAGCCCCAGTGACAGCTTTGTACCTTTTTTTCTGAGAGTTTACGGCCAAGATCCAAGCCTTCCGTTTCCTTTTCCACTTCTCCCAAAGCGTAGGTTTCTTATAAACCGAATAAATCACATTTAAGGCGTTTAAAGGGATAGTTCGGCCAAAACTGATATTTAACCCATGAATTACTCACCCTCAAGCCGTTCGAGATGCATATGTCAATCTTGTTTCAGACGAACACATTTTCAGTTATTTTAGAAAATGTCTTAGGCCCTTCAGTGGATATAATGTGAAGAAATGGGGTCCAGCTCTTTAAGTCCCAAAAATGTGCATACAACATTCACAAAAGTAATCCATCCGGCTCCAGTGGGATAAACGAAGGCCTTCTGAGGGTAATCCGTGCGGTATTGTCGTAAAAATATACATATTTAAAACTTTAGAAATGAAAATATCTGACTTCCGGCAACGATCGACGTACGTTCGGTACGTTCGCGGGTGGCGATATTTTTTTTCACAGGATGGTAGGGGAAGACTCATCAATATTCATTAGGGAACTCATCCCTGATTGGCCTTAACCCCAATGACGGGTAGGTTTAGGGGCGGGATTAGGGGTAGGTCATCAGACCAATCAGGAATGAGTTCCCTAATGAATATTACCATCCTGTGAAAAAAAATATCGCTCACGGGTGATGGAAGTCGGCGTACGAGGTAGGACTTTAGTCCTACGTACGCCGACTTCCATCACCCGTGAACCAGCCCGTTCTCATCCTTTAACGTCACATAGAACGCTATATGACAAAACGGCGCGATACGACGCACATGGCACCCGTTATCGTTAATATTCACGCGAACCCAAGGCGTCATAAATCCTTTAGCGTAATATGAGACTACCCTACCCCACACCTAAACCTACCCATCACAGCGCGTGTTATATTAACGATAACGGTCGCCATGTGCGTAGTATAGCGCCGTTTTGTCATATAGCATTCTATATGACGCTAAAGGATGAGAATGCGTTGCGTGAACGTACGTCGATCGTTGCCGGAAGTCAGATATTTTCATTTCTAAAGTTTTAAATATGTATATTTTTACGACAATACCGCACGAATTACCCTCAGAAGGCCTTCGTTTATCCCACTGGAGCCGGATGGATTACTTTTGTGAATGTTGTATGCACATTTTTGGGACTTAAAGTAGCTGGACCCCATTTCTTCACATTATATCCACTAAGGCTATGTTTACACGGAAACGATGAAGAGAAAACGTAAAACTGGCGTTGCAGCATCTTTTTTATTCTGCGTTTAGACGAGCGTTTTGTGTGGGAAATCCGCGTGCAAATGGAGACACAAAGTGTGTGAAATTCAATGTAGTATGCACTTCAGGCGGCTAGGAGTGCAAACGACAACAACACCCAGTCCACGCGCCTGCGTAGTTTGTACAACCTTCACTGTCGAGCAGACTTTTGCGTTTTTACCGTTTACACGGGAACGATTTCCACTCTGGAGTGTGCTTTCACTTTTTTTGCGTTTTTGAGCCTCAAAAACGCTGTCGCCGTGTAAACGAAAGGCACATCCGATAAAATATTTTTACGTTTTCACCCGCGAGCGTTCTCGTGTAAACAGGGCCTAAGACATTTTCTAAAATAGCCTTTTCTAATAGCCTTTTGTTTGTTGTTGTTTTTTGTTGTTTTTTTTTTTTGTGTTTCTTGTTTCTTTTTGCACTGTATGACTTAACAAACATTTTGTCTGCCTTGTACTTCTGTGCCATTGCCTGAAATAAAAAAAATAAATAAATAAAAAAAAAAAAAAACTGAAAATGTGTTCGTCTGAAACAAGATTGACATATGAATCTCGAACGGCTTGAGGGTGAGTAATGCATGGGTTAAATATCATTTTTGGCCGAACTATCCCTTTAAGACCTTTTTAAGACCTGCACATATACAATGAAAGGGGTAGTTATTAATTAGTCACCTTCATGATGTTCCAAACCTGTCAGACTTTTCATCTTCAGAACACAAAACAAGATATTTTAAGATATTACGCAGAAGAAAGCCATATAGTCATTCCTCCAAAAGCATCTTAAAGAGGCAGATTCATGAAAAACATTTTTTCTTAACCACTTAAGAAAAACGCAAGTACAGAACGAGTGTTCTCAAAAGAGATTCGAACACTGATAAAACAACAGAGGAGCAAGCTTTACTTTCACCACAAATGTTGAGGCTTACTTTCCTTTACTTGTGGCTTGTCTCACAGACTCACTCCATCAAGTCCCAGTTGCCATGCCCTGATTATATCCACTGTAAGGAGGAAACATTACCCCAGGGAACAAGAGTAGTGATCAACTTTCAACCAGCGATAACATAGAGAGAATACAACTTTAATGTACTGATGATGTAATCAAGGAGAATCAGGCCAGTCAACAGAAAACGTTACGCTCAAACTGCCCAGAAAGCTACACAATGGTACGGGAAAAAAGTGTGAACTGATCTTAGTGTTTAATATGCCGTATCAAGAGCTAGAACTAATCCAGAGTCAATTCAGATCATCAAATAACAAGCAAAACCATGTAAACGACACTGGTCCAGAAACACTTCCTGTTTCAGTTTGTAACTGTTTTCTTTATTTCACATGTAAAGAAAACATCTTAAAGATGTTTGTTTAACTTTTTGATTCATATTTATATGTTCTGCTGGTTGTATTTTATCCCAGCTTTTATGTAGTGTTAAAAACTGAAACAGGAAGTGCTTCTGGTTCTGGACCAGTGTTGTTTACATCTTGTGAAATGTTCTATAAGACCAATAATCACCCCAGTAAAATATGACAGATCCTTGTCTGATAATGTAAATTTCACTCTAAAAATTGCTGGGTTGTTTAAACCCAACTTTGGGTCAAATATGGACAAACCCAGCCATTGGGTTAAATTTTTTAATGACATTTTAACCCAACGTTTGGGTTTGTCCATATTTGACCCAAAGCTGGGTTAAAACAACCCAGCATTTTTATAGGTTAAATCTCCCTTAAAATAATAATAATAAATAATCACGTACTGAGATTGTGTGCTTTCCATCAGCAAATAAATCACCCGTTTGATCCAATTCAAGCGCTCCGTTTTTTCAAAAAATCAACAAAATGTTGCTTTTTTTTTTTGCGATCCTCCTTAATTTGCCATTATCTTATGAAAGATTAAATGATTGTTATTTTTCTGGGCCGTATGACAACTATACATCTAGTGTTATAGTAAATGTGGTGGAATCTGAATTATAAAAACGAAGATTTTCCACAGAATTCTTGAAATTACATCACAAAATCAGTTATTAGTCAGTCATTTGATGACAAAATCTGCAACAATGAAATACAGGAAATCTTGGTGGGACTGCTAGGTTTGCAAAAATGTTTTTGATTAATTTTGGTTCATTTGGACACTTCAAGTCAAGCACTGAATTGTATGGAGCGCTTTCTCAACCCGTAAACTTTATAAGGCGAAAAAGCACTGGATGAGGTGGCAAACCTGAAAATGTTTTTAATCGTATACGGTGAGGCACGCAGCTCTTTATTGCGCAAAAAGCTTGTGAACGACTCAGCACTGCACGTAAACACACTTTATGTCCATAGCGATAAAGAGGAGTATGATGGGGGGCCTGTGAAACCATAGTGGATATTGAGTGCACTCATTCAATCCCACAATGCATCGCAATAACGAGTGTACTCAACGACAAGAGAATAATGCACAGTTTGCGAAATAGATTTTTCGCTCCGTTTTCCGTTGCAGACAGTACCGCCACAAATAGTACGCGGTCGTCATAGCAACGCCTTTGGCTCCTCCCACCAAACAAAGGAAAGTCTGCACCTCCTCTTTGACCATGGCGTATTCTTTCGAGCTGCCGTAATAATAGTAGTACGTTTAGTAACCATCTCTGGCCAAATTATTTAAAAAGGCGGGATTATTCTGGATACTCCATCTGGCGCGTCCAATGCACGATTCTCTCCGACCATTTAGCAGTCGGCATTGTTTTCACATCACATTTTAGTATCGCCACCAGACATACGTCAGCCGCGTCTTACGTCAGCAGAACGCGGATCCACAACAGAACCGGAAGACAATACAATGCTGAATAAAGTCGCAGTTTTTGTTGTTATTTTTGGACCAATACGTATTTTCGATGCTTCGAAACATTCTAACTAACCCACTGATGTCACATGGACTACTTTGATGATGTCTTTATTTCCTTTCTGGACAAGGACACTATACCGTACATACATTTCCAATGGAGGGACAGAAAAGTCTCAGACTGAATCTAAAATATCAAAAACTGTGTTGCGAAGATCTTACCGGCTTGAGACGAGTCATTAATGACATCATTTTCATTTTTTGGTGAACTGACCCTTTAAGTGTAATTTCTGCGCCCCTAGCGTCAACAAACGAAAAAACAAAAAAAAAAAAACAATGAATGTTCTCACACAGGTTTCCGAAACACTCCCCAGTCCCCGCCCCTGCTTGTCATTAGTTGAACAAAATGATAACCCCGCCCCCAAACACACGCCACTGGTTGAGACCATAGACTGTGGTTGAGACAATGTTGATACATCGGTTTTGATAGGGATGCTCCAAATATAATTTTAGAGATATGATATCAATTTACGAACAGCTACAATAAAGAATAGATAAAGTATTTAAACAGAATGAAGGAGACTGCGCTGCGTGTTCTTGGCTTGATGTAATACACCTGTGGCATCTGAGCTTGAGTTACAGGATATGAGCACACTTCATAAACTCATGGCTGCCTGTGTGCCATCATCATACATACAGTACTGAATGAAACAACCTGGCAGGTATCTGGAGTGGTTATAAAGAAAGTTGTGAATGCATTTCACCAGTGCTTAGGTGTGGATGATCTTACCTTACACGGAAACGGTAGGTTAGATGCAACTTTTTCCATAGCCAAGTTCCTTATGCTCGGCGTAAGAGGGCCGCGACAGGTTGGACAGCAGCTGAGCTTTTGCCGACACTGGTTACACACCAGATGCCCAGCCTGGCACTGCAATATCGGAGGCAGCACATAGTCGAAACACACTGGGCATTCAAACAACGCTGTCAGTTCGGCTGACTGTCCCGGTAGGGCAACGGCAGGAAGGGTTACAGCGACCGCGGGCACAGTACCAGAGCCCGGGACAGAGCCAGAGACCCCTGCGGCGGCGGCGGCGGCGGCTGTGGCTGCGGCGGTTCCTCCAGAACCTCCATGCTTACTTCCTCCTGCTTTACCAGCTCCGAGTCCCCCAGCCGCACCACCCGTCGAGGACGGACGGCTCATGGCGAGGAGTGTAGATCTCTGATGGTGTAAAACCCAGACGAGTTCAAGCCCGAGAGCCTCACCATGTACTCCTAGCTGACGAGAGACTCGGTTCCGAGCAGCCTCCAATCCCCCGCGGATACAACATGGCCGCCATAGTTTGAGAGCGAGTAACGACACTATTGGATGAAGGAGGTTTGATTGACACTCTTCTCAGCCAATCACAGAGCTGCTCTTGACGTTTACGTAAGAGTCTACGTGACTGGCTAGTGAAGTAAACAGCAAACAAACAGTTGCACTACGGCACTTCGACACTACCGAAGGATGTTTCATTGTTTAATGCAATTAGAAGACTGACGCATTTTAAATCGTTAAAACTAAACAGAATGAAAAACATATTGAGATACGCGGTCTCACTAAAAAGTTCGTTCTGGACTATAAAATAGAAGGATCATATTTGATTAGCTCTATTAAAACCCGCTCCTATCTGGTTCATCAATAACAAAAGGAACTTAAGTTAACATGCTTGGGATACACATATGAAATATGTGTAAAAAAAATACCTTGAAATGAACCCTGCATTATTTATCTAGAAAAAAAAAACACTTCGAAATTTAAAAGCTATTTTTTAAATGCTCACATGAGATTTTTGTTGCTATGTAAAAATTTTGTTCCGTTCTCGTTTGCTACCTCTAAGTTATATATATATATATATATCAGTATAATATACCATGAGCATATATAAATATCATCATCCTGGAGTAACAGCCCTTGTTTAACTAGCTCCCTCTGCTGGCATTTCATTGGTTTCATAAGAACGTTATGTTTCATTTACACCTAATATTGAGTTTAAATTATATAAATAATTAAACTGCCCTTGATTTATTAAGCTGGCTCAGGGTGATCAAGATTTTTTGCACCATATTAGTAACGCAACCACTAAATGAAGTCTAAACACAATTTATCATTTTATTTTGATTTATTTTTTACTTACAAGAATTAACAATAAAAGATAATATGCAATGGTAACATTCTAAACAAGACAATACTACTGAAAGGCAAATTCAGAGTTATCAAATGCTTATTTACATAATCACGTTTGCTTCAATACTAGTAAGAAAACACAGCAGGTCATAAAGCATCATAGTCATCCTCATCTTCATGCTTCCTCTTGAGAGACGTAGAGTCACTCGATGAATTCTGCGACACCATATTGGTGGTGATGAGGATGTTCTTGGAGCCGATGAGAGAGGGGTTGATGAGGACATTCTGAACCGTGGGAGTAGTAGGAGTAGCTGTGAATGAAAACAAATTAAATTCATAATTCACTACACGTTCTTAAAGCCTGTCATGTTTTTATTTCTCTTACAGGACCCGTCAAAAGTCTTTATTTTATTTTCTCAGTAATATTGTGAAATATTACAAATTAAAAAAATATGTTTCTACTTGAATGCAATTTATTTTTACTTTCTCCTATTTTCTTGTTTGTTTCCTCTTTTCCGATCATTTGGATTGAGGATTAAAAAAGAAAAAAAACCATGTAAATAAATTCCAACATCAATTCAATATCTACTATTTCCTGAATATTACTGATGAACTGATCAAACAGTAGGCTACTGTTCACATGCGTTTTACTACAATAAAGTATAGTAATAAGTTAGTATTTTCTCCTGTTGTTGTTGGTTTCCTCTTTTCTCATCATTTGGAATGAGGATAAAATTAAAATAAAATAAAACATGCAAATAATTTCAAATATCAGTCTAATATCAACAATTTCCTGAATATTATGAAATTCAAGAGGGTCATAATCTGATGACGTCATAATATGCAAATTAGACGAGTACATGAACTTTCAGTCATCCCCAACATGTTTCTAATTTACAGTAGATCTCTATCTTTAAGCAAAATTAAGAAATTTTGATGTCAAAATCCAGCATTTAAAAACCTTGGGGCCTGAAGAGTTAACTTTTGACCTGCTCACTGATTTGGCACAAAATCATTCACATGGTCCTTTATATACAAGAAGATCATCCAAAGAGAACTGCTTGGTGAAAGGTGGGTACCTGATTTGACAGAGGCAGCCTGTGAGTTGGGGATCTGAACGGTGAAGCGCTGGCCGCTCAGTGACACAGGCGTTCCCACTTTGGTCCCCACCGTCTGCACTGATGGAGTACCTGAAAAACACAACGGGGATCCTGAAAACCGACTTTTAGATTTTGTGTATTATTGTGAATCAATGAATGTATGCTGGAAATAGTGAGCATGCAAAGAGTCCTGAAAACTCAGAGATGTTTTAGTTCATACAGAAAGTTTTTGGAGTAACTGACCGAGAGTCGGTGTGCTCGGCCTGCTGGACACGGCTCCGACGCTCAACCGTGGCACTGTTATCCTGCCCGTGGACGAAGACACCTAAACATGCACACCAGAACCATATCAGACGGTACATTTTCATTCACATCTGTTTGTTTCATGTGAAGAACCAGGATTGGATTTCACACAGTCTGGATATGAAGAAACCCTCTTTTTAAAAGTTCCTGTTGGGTTTATTATAGTCGAACTAAAAACTAAAACCACAAACTAATATTTTCAAGACTTGGGGGGAAAAAAGACTATTGAAACTTTACCATATTTTATAGTGCTTAGCATAATAAAGGAATAAAAAAATCATCTTTTGGAAATTGATTTTAATGCCTTTATTAAAAAAAAACACGTTGGCATGGTTTTATTTCAGTTATAGCTAGTTTGATTAGCATTGAGAGATGATCTTATGGAAATACGCCACGATAAATTATTAATTCACAAAGAAATAAAGTGTCCCTAAAGGTCGGATTTTCCCTCATTTTTTTTAATTAAGGCATTAAGAGGCATGAATTTTTTTCGTGTTCGCCAATGAAGTTGCTTGCTTTGAAAAGTGACTTCACAGGACCTTTTCCCTGCAAACTTTCGCTAAAAATTTTGAAAAACTTTTTAAAATTACTTAATAACTGAAAAGAGATGAGATCCCTGAAGAACATTCAGCTTCTATAACATTTTGGAAGCCTTAAATCATAACAATAATATTTTTTTCCTTTTTTTAATCAACAGAAAATAGATAATCCCATATATTAAAATAAAATACATTTTGAAAAACTATGGCTTTGAATATTGTCGTGGATAAAAGGCGGGCCTCTGAGCCAAAAAAAAGTTAGGTCTCCTCTCAAATATCCATAGATGGCCAAATACAAAACTTTGATGTGTATATTAACACATCATCTAGAGTAATACCTTTTTCTGCAGGGACTTCAGTCTGTAGTTCGGTGCGGTCAGACAGTAGCGGTCTGGTGGAAGACGTGGACCGGTGTACGGTTTGATCAGGGGCAAAGGGGTTTGGTTCTTCTGCCTTGCAATGTCCAACAGAAACTGAAACCATGGACCAAACAGCACTGTTCATTAATTACCAGAAGTCACATATGAGGTATGAATTAGTCATCAAGAGAGACTTACATCTCGTGGCGGAGGAGATGTGAACGACTGATCCACTCGACACTGGATCGCTAACCTTATGTCATCTGCATCCACGCTGGACTTCTTGGCATGGGTGGAATAGATTTTTGCATCCTCAATAATAGTGGTTACGTATCCTGTATAAAAACATTAAAATGTTATTGAATGATTTACAAGTACAGAAAGCTTATTGCTGGAGTGCATTAACATTTTATCAATGCATGTCACAATATACTTAAAAGGTTGGCATGAAGCGGATAGTCTTTTCTTCAGTACATCTGGCTTCTCGAACAAGAAAAAAAGTAGGGCGGGGCGGGACTAGATAGGATTGCTGTGGTTTGCCATTGCTGTGATGTGATGTCATGTGAGTGACAGGTTGTCCCGCCCTCGCGCCACTAAACACGTCATCAGAGAAGCGATGTCATTGCGAGTTATTTTGCTTAAATATTAAGAGAGAACATGAATGACTTGCATAGATAAATCATTCATAATAAATATTGCAATGTTCAATGAACAAATAAGCATTGTCAATTTTGATTTCATTAAAAGCATCCTGACTTACTGTATGTAAACTCCAGCATTTGATTGATCACTCTAGGCTCGTACTCCGTGACCCCCATGTCTTTAAGAATCTGCATCATAACCTTTAAAGATAATAATAATAAAAATAATAAGAAGAAGAAAGCAAAAAAAAAATGCGAAAGGGAAATATTATGCATGATTTATTAGCATCAATTCGACTCTATTGCAGGTTATTTGCAGCCAGTGCACATCTTACTTCACATTTGTAAATAAATCATATATGGAAAACCTTCATAATCCCAAAATATGGAAAATAATAACACAACGTGTTAGAACCGCGCCAAATTGAAACTCAAACCCCTGCATTACAGTCGGTGGACCAGTTAGCGTGCTAACGCATGTATGTCCACAAAGAAAAATAAGTAAGATGAATAAAATGCACATTCGTTCTTTAATCATGCTGCTTTAAGACTTTAATAACAATGAATGGTGCAAAGCACAGTGATAAAACCGTTACTGGTTCATTATTTACCTGGGCATCTTTGGGCACTGTTTTCGGAGACGCCATTTTCACACGAGCTCAGCTTCTCCTCCCCTGAAGACTCGGTTCGGTGGTGTTTCAAAACGTACTGAGTCGACTACCTAGACCGCATAATGGCCACCGGGGGCGGTGCCGAAACAACGCAGCCACTCGGGATGACGGAAGGATGAGCGGCGGAGGCAAGCAACCAATCATAGAGAGATTCACCCAACAGTGACGCGCCAAGTGACTCGAGCAACCAATCAGCAGCGGTTTAGACAATCAACGTGCCCAAACTGCAGCGCGTGCCTTCTGCGAATCGGTTCTTTCGAACAGTTCGTTTCAAGAAACTGATTTTAAACGATAATGTGGTCTCTGACATACATACCGGCGTGGCATATTACAAGCGTTAAACCGTTACAATAAAGCTATATTATGTTTTTCGAATAAGTGTTGTTAACGATAATTCAATTTGTCCAAGTTTAATAATTCAATTCGTTAAAAGACATTTCGGACCTAAATACAATAAGCATTTACATTAAGCAATGCTAGTTATATGTTTTCACGTTTTGCACTATAATTAGTTCTAATTCATAAACAAGTATTAAGTTGTAAACATATTTCCAGCACGTTTTATTCCAGACAAAACCCTCAGAAATGATGTAACCGATTCACTCTGAACAGTTCCGACAATTGTTTCCCGATTCATTCATCGCCATTTGAGACACAACCACTGACCCTAGTAGTGAAGTCACATCCTCCTCTATATAAACAAAAACACACACACACTGGTTTATTCAAGCTAGACACACTACAGTTCCTCTTCCACCGAATACATCTAACATCTGTCAGACCTTTTATTGTAGTTTTCCCCTGCTAACGGGAAAAACATGTCTCGGAAATAATCTAGCTCTGCTGTATTTAGTGATGTTGAAATCTAAGCTGATTGTTTTTCTTTCGTTTTACGGTGAACACTGAATATTTTATTTTTGCCCGTGTCCTTACATCGAGGTGTCTCGTGATTCGCTGCTGCTTATGTATTTATTCATCAAGTAGTCTTTAACTGTAGTATTATTAGGAGTTTTCACTGGACGTCAGTGTGGATTGCTAACTGAACCATTAGCCACCCAGTTACAGTATTCATCTGTCAGTAAAGTCGCCCTGAAGTCCCGTCAACTGATACACAGGTGAGTAAAAATAATGAGAAGGTCAACAAACCTTTAGTGTGTTTCATAATATAGATAATAGTTTGCTTGATAAACTGAAACTGCGCATTAGCCAAAGCTAGCTCTGATTTCTTACACAACGTTACAAAAAAAAAAAACATACTATTTATGTCGACTAAATGCTAACTTGAACATGTTGTATAATGTAAATTTATATTACTCTTCAGTTTAACAGTGCTTTTTGGCATACTTAAGAAGTTTATCTTTGTAATAATTGCGCAAATATTGTCTTTGAAATATGATTAGTGTACTGCGTGATGTAACGTTACTGACAAGATTTGTTTTGTAAAAACCTTTGTCATTTGTTTAAATTATTTGTATAATTACACATTTGTAATGAAGTTGACATTTACTATATTTAAAATTAACTTTAAATGTAAACTCGAATTACGTCAAGTACTTTGTCAACATATCAAAATAAGTATACTACATAAACACAGCGAAACATTTAAAATGTACTTCAGAGAAAACCTTTTAGTTTGACATTATTGCTAAGTGTACTTTTTAAAGAAACAATCTTGTAAGTTTACCCTCTTTAATTACAGTCATTCATTAATATTATATTACTGCAAGTATTTTTTTTTAAATATACCTTCAATATTTGAAGTAGCCTACACTACAAGTGCACTTTGAAAACAATCTCATTTTCACAATGGATATCATGTATATATTTACAGTATATATATATATGTCTACACAATGTTTTTTTTTCTTTCTTTCATTTCTAGTGTCTTTTTCTACAAACCAAAATCATCATGACTGCCATGCGAGTGGACGCTAAGGTGGTCATGCTGGGCAAGGAGAGTGTGGGTAAAACCAGCCTGGTGGAGAGATACGTACATCGCCGCTTTCTTGTTGGACCGTATCAAAATGTAAGCATGCGTTTGCATATAAACCCAAACCTAATTCGTTCTGGTCATTAGGCCATAGCTAATAAAATCTTTTGAGATTGAGTGTTCTCAGTAAGGACATTTTTGTGTCAGATGTACATTTGCCTGAGTATGAGCTATCTCTAATCTTGTGTCACATAAACCAGCTGCACAGGTAACGCCACCTTCCTTCCTCTGATGTCCATGATATGGTGTTGCTAGCCTTTACGTGTACTTTTGTTTTTGTCTCATTAAGACTATAGGGGCTGCGTTTGTTGCAAAAGCCCTCAATGTCGGTGACAAAGTGGTTACACTGGGAATATGGGTAAGTGTTGTTGTTGCATATACGCTTCATATAGGCTTGTCAACCACTCATTAGTGACTTGATGTGTTTTCTTTCACCTCAGGACACGGCTGGGTCTGAACGTTACGAGGCCATGAGCAGAATCTATTACAGAGGAGCCCGCGCTGCCATCGTCTGCTATGGTATATCCCTCTCTCACTGTCTGACATGGAAAGTGGCGCTTTTTTGTTTTGTTTTTTGGAAAAAAATTGCAGGATGTACAGCTAGTCTAGCAGTCAGGTGACGGTGAGCAAGTAAACGGCTCACTCTTGCTCACTCAGTGTCTGTTTTACAGTAGTTCCAGTCCTTCATCTGTTTGGTTCAAATAAGTTCATCAGGGCTAATTAAAAGTTTGGGAGACAAAAAAAGGCTTAGGGCTGTTAAAATATTAAAATATATTAACATAACGAAATATGTTTGATTAATTTATTTACTATTTTTTGTTCATGCGATTTGTTACTATTTTGTTTTTTGACTGGTCTAATATATATATATATATATATATATATATGACAATGTTTTTTTTATTTAAAAAAAATAATTATACATTTATAAAAAATAAATAAATAAATAAATAAAATAAAATAAATAAAAAATATTTTTAATTTTTTTGAAAGAAATATCTTATGCTCATCAAGCCTGCATTTATTTAATTAAAAATGCGGAAAAGAAACCACAGAAATTTGATGCGTCCTTGCTTAATGAAAACTTCAAACTTATGGAAATAATCATAAGAAAATGAGTCCCTTGCAAGATAGAAGTTGTAAAACCTAAATGTTGTGTGCGTTTTGCTCTTAGATCTGACTGACAGCAGCAGTTTTAAACGGGTCAGGTTCTGGGTGAAGGAGTTACAGAACTGTGAAGAGGTAAAACAAACCACAGGAACGTCTTCAGATCATTCGGATCTTCACTGACGCATTATTTTATTTTCAGCACTGTAAGATATATCTGTGCGGGACCAAGAGTGACCTCATCGAAGCCGACCGGAGCGTGCGGCAAGTGGACTACCACGATGTTCAGGACTTTGCAGATGGTAAGCATGAATTTAGTTGTTTTTTTCATGCAAAACAATTCGTAAAAACAAACTTTTCTTTGCAGAAATAGGTGCTCAACATTTCGAGACCTCCAGCAAAACAGGGAAAAATGTTGGTAAGTGAATTTTCAAATTGTTATATTACACATATGTAGTATTTTTCAATTCATATTATTTTAATTTCATTGTTTATTATTATTATATTTTTATATATATTTTTTTTTCTATAATTTTTTATAATACTTTTTATTTCTATTTAATTTTTATTATTTTTTAGATATTGAGATATATATAATATTTAATATTAGATAGATGTAATATTTCACTGTTATTTTGTATTGTCATTTAAAACCAATAAAAAACATTTGGAGTAAGTGACTCTTCAGTGTGTGGAGCGCTGCTCATGTGTAACGTGCTATTACATACCGAGACGTTTCACTTCTGTATTCCCGTACAGATGAGGTGTTTCAGAAGGTGGCGGATGATTTCAGTAACTGTGCTTTAGAGTTCATGCAAGGTGGGATTTTTTTTTCTTTTTTTTTTTTTTTCTGAATGCATTATATTTATGCAATTCCATTAAAGCAAGTAAAAAAATAATAGAAATAGAATTGCTCAAATAATGTGATGTTGCCTATTTTTATTTGATTTATTTATTTGCCGTTGTGTCCTCACAGAAGAGAAGGGGGTGAATCTGGAGCAAAAGAAGGACTCTTATTTTGACAACTGCTGCCATAACTGACCTATCGCAGGACAAACTGCTGTATCATGTGATCTATTCTGGGCTGACTGGAGGCTCAAGCACCCGCTGGAGTGTTTTGCTTTTTCTTTTTTCTTGTTTGCTGTGCAGTGTGTTGAGATTGGGCTTTTTGAAACGATGAAGACTTTTCTTGTGTTCAAGCAATGAACGATTTTTTTCTTTGTGGACCTGAGAATAGTGACTGAAGCAAATATCAACAGTGCATGGCAATCCATTTTACCAAAAAAAAGAAGACACCAAGGATGCCGTCGCATGGAGATGATCGTTGCCAATTTTCACAAACTCTGCCTTGAGTGATTCATCACTTTTTATCATTTAAAGTGTCTCCATTTTAGAGGATCGTAACGTTTACACCCTTCATTTGTCACGCTGCACTGATTTATGAACCGTTTTGTTGAAGCTATTTGCAAATTGCAGTTTTCACAGATCTGAAACCAGTTCAAACAGTTTCTCACGATCATTGGGTGGAAAATCACAGTTCCCATTATTATATTCTTGGATCATAAAGTAAAGTCTAATAACCATAACTATGGTCACTTGGACATTATCATTTCATGGTGAATTTGATATCTGGAAATATTACTATCCCAAAGTTTCCTGTATCCTGTTGGCCATTATTTGCAGATTTAATAGATCTATTTGATGAATGTGATGTTAATGTTTACAGTTATTTCTATTATTATTTAATTTGACTTCAATGCAGTTTGGGTAAGATATTGTAAACTGTTGTGGACATGTTCTCAGTTCACTCTCAGTTGTTGTGAATGTATTAAATACTGTTTGTTCAGAGGCCAAACAAAAACTGGAGAGATCCTGATATTGTGCCATTTTCACTGGACATCCTTCAGGAAAGAAGGACCTAATATTTACATTTTACTGCGAGATTACGTGAAGAATTGTCACTAAAGCATGTGATCTTAAACACCTCATGCATATACGGACCATTTTACCAATATGTACCAAAATAGTACAAACTGTGCAGCGCAAGTCAAACCATCTGATATTATAATAAAATATCAAGTGTGCGGTCAGCATGTTCGTGTCAATACTGTAAATGAATCTTTTAACTTTGAGCGGTAATCACCTAAATTCAATATGGAAAATATTTTTTTTTTATCAACATATATTCATTCTTTGCTGCCTATTCCGGCTTGCACTCACATATGCAAGTTATTTATTTTTGTTTAAGATATACACACCAACATAATATGCTATTCTTTGAATATTCTGTATGTGTGTGTGTGTGTGTGTGTATATATATATATATATATATATATATATATATATATATATATACACACACACACACATTCATGTATATTGAACATTAAAAAAAATAGCTTCACCCCAGTTTAAATAAGAATTAAAGTGAAGATTGAAATGAAATTAGCAGCAAGAGTTTAGCGTTGTGACATTATTGTCTAACAATTGTCCGGCTAAAATTCTCATTAGTGTAATACAGAAATTAAATGTAATTTAAGTACAGTATAACAAATTCTACCATTATGTATACTTGGTTTACAATGTAAATAGAATAGTTTTGTGTTACAGTAATGAGAATATATATGTTTTCTGCATTGGCTAATCATTTCATGTGGAAATGTGCTTGATTGTCATGAAATAAACATGTCAATGATCCTAAAACATGTTTAATTTTTTTTTATGTAAAATAGAATTAATTTTTATTTGGGGGTGAAATATGACCCAAGCATTTCTTGACATTTTTTATTTGAGATTTAATAGTTTTAATACCCCACCCATTTGATTACTGAGTATTAAAATAGAATTTAGATCAAAATATATACAGGGAGGGAGGTGATAAAAACAGCAGCACGGATGCAACGAGTGTGTACTGTTGTTTATTCTGTACAAAGCACTACAGCACAATTAAAATCTCTGACAAGGCAACACATTTTTTCCCCTTTTGCTTGATAATTTGTCTGAAATATACTGAAGTGGAATGACTCTAGGAGCAGCATGAAAACTATTAAGTTAACAATTCTATACAGTAATACAGTAATAAAAAAAAGAAGTTTAAATGCTGTTGAAAATGAAGAACGGGGGTCGGGAACATCAGGAGTGTAGACACGTAACAGGCCAAAATCATGAGCTTCGCGAACGACGATAGATGACTAGAAATATGAGCATGTTGAAATATGTTTACTTATCCGGATTGCAAAGTTTCTTTCATATAGCTTAACTGTATAAAAACATATACAACATGATAAAACAGCTGATCTGTTTGCTTCTCTACTGGTGCGCTGCTTTTATGTGATTGCCCTGGTTGTCTTCTGGCTCAACCACTGCTGTGAGTAGCGACAGGACTTCCTGTTTGTTTGAACGTTTCGTAAGCGTTTCAAAAATCACACAGTTCACCTTTAACTTCCCAGCACAATTTACACCAGAGGATTATGGGAATATCTCTTCGGTTGATCTGAACACTTCCTTTGTAAAAAGACATTTCTGGGGATATTTCCTAAATTAACCCAAATGAATTACAAGTGTTCTTTGTTTTAGCATGTGTTAGCATGCAAATTTTGGATTATTATACAAAAGTGCTTTCACAAAATGATAGTCTTGAAGTCTAAAGAAATTTAAACGGCTGGCTATAATACAGTGAGAAAAATACAGGATCAAGACACTGATCATTTCATTGTATTAACGTGCCCCTATTATGCTATTTTAAAGGTTCCTAATTTTAATTTGGAAGTCTCCTAATAAATTTTTTTTTTTAAATCTCATAATATACATTGCACATAACCACATTTTTCATTGATTCTCAAACGACTCGTCCGATGATTCAGTCTCACTAAAAAAACCCTCCTCTCTGGAAACTACTCTGCTCTGATTGGCCAAATGACTCACACCGTGTCCTAACTACACGCGATGCGACGCCGCGACACGCGACACGTTAATCAGAGTAATTTTCCTAACCAGACGCGACGGCGACACGCGAAGTTTCTAATTTAGAAACGGTTCCTATTTCTGCGACGTCGCGGCTGACAGAATGAAGAAATTACACTGGTTATGAGTATACATTATTTATTTTAGTTAAAAATAGGTCACTGTGCACCAAGCGATAACGGATAATTTACCTCAGATTTTCAAAGCATGTAATATGGCGTTCAAAATGAATTCTATGTAAACATACAACTGTACTTCATAACAAAATGAGTCAATGAGTATATTTTGTTAATGTTTTGATTTTTAATAATGTTATTTCTTGATTTGATTATGTCCTTACCCATTTTCCAATGCGAGTGCGGGCCAACAGTGCGCTTTCACAGAGAGAGTCCGCCCACACGCTGTTCTGAATGTGTGCATCTCACAGTCGCGTCGCGTCGCGTCTAGTGTGGACTGACACACTTGCTGTCGCTGGAATTTTATCGCGTCGCGTGTAGTTAGGACACGGTGTAACAGTGCGTGTCGGAAATGATACACTCTGTAAGTACAACAACGATGGTGTTGATTTTACCATGTCAAGTCCTAAGATTAAATTTTAGAAGAACTAATTACTCAACCGGAACTTCCATCGCAAGGACGATTTGATCAGGATGCTTCTCAGTGATTCGCTACTTTAACCCGGCCTCGGATAAGCGAAAGAAGATCGATGGATGGATGGATGAGAGAGAAAATAACTTTATCGTGCACTTTGACCTTTAAAAATTCGCTGACCTTTTACATTCACAAACAGCTACGTATAGTCAGAGCCCGTCTAACCCCATTGTGTATCATCTTGGTTGCAGTTCCATTAGAATTCCACTGGAGGTGATCATGAGCGAGTGCAGAATGAATGGGAGTCTATGGGGCTAAACGGCTAAATGTGTCTCTTTCACCTGCTTGTCGTTAAATCAACATAGATTTTATTGTTGATTCCGCAAGTTCAATATAGATTATAGGCCAAAAGTCGAATGAACGAGTACTTATGTCCTTTTGATTTCTTACAGGTTAGGCCGTTGTTGGCCGGATCGCGCTAGCATTCTGCTATTGTGTGACGTCATCACAGTTTTGAACGGATTTTTAGAACAGATAAGTGAACTTAAAAATGCAATTTTCAGCTGAGTGTATTATCTTAGCCCTCCCTTTTGAATGCAACTTTCAAATTACATCCTGAGAAAAAGTGGATTTCTGGGGGTGAAACCCCATTGACTCCCATTCATTCTGCACTCGACCGCGAGCGCCCCCGCATGGACAGAGACGTGTTACTGCAGCCAGTCCAGAACCCGGAAGTAACCAGCCAGTGCCAATTCTCTTCAATTAGACATTCTCTGATATAGTACACACTTCATGAAAGGTAATAACTGAATAAGCACAATAGGGGCAATTTAATTACCGCCAACAAAGTATATTTCAGTTTTGATACAAATGCTCAGTATATGTGTACAGCCAAACACACAGCTTTTTAAAGTATAATCAATTTGATAGCATATGCCAACATAAGCGGTCGACACGTGCACTAAAAATTAGAGCCCGACCGATAAAGGATTTTGAAGGCCGATACCGATACAAATATTTTTGGGTTTCAAAATCCGATATATCGGCCAATATTTTATTTATTTGAAACTGGACATGATAGTCACAAATCTTATTTGAGTTTAGAGAACTGATGGGGATGTTCTTTTAATTGTTATTCAAGCGTGACCAACTCAACGAGTGTTGCCAACAGGAACGGTGTAGAGCGCCCTCTGGTGGACAAACTACACAACACTCATCACATGGTTCAAGCGTGTTTCGTCCGTTTTTATTTTATTTTTGAAATATTCATCAGCCATTATAACTGCCGATACCGATAGTTTGGAAAATGCCTAATATCGGCCGATAATATCGGTCCGCCGATATATCGGTCGGGCTCTACTAAAAATGTCCACCTTTGTCTAATGTCCGTATTTTTCCCTAGTCCGTAACCTCTGTACACCATTGCTCATCAATGTGCATTTCTATCGCTAATGTGAGTTTCAGAAGTTTGTTTGTTGTTTTTTTTAAACAGAGTTGCCACCTTGTGTACCAGATTACTAGCGTAAATAAAATACACGCGGTTACAAAAGTAACCGAAAAAGACGAACTTGTATGCATATACCATTCACGTAAAAACCGAAATATACTTTGGGCTTTACTTTTTCAAAAGTAAAATTCAACCTAAGCTTATGTTCTGTACTATTTGCTCACAGAGCAGATATACAGAACAAATGAGTTTTGGTAACAGTACGTGTTATTTATAGTCATAATTATTTGACTCGATGAAGAAGGCAATGGCATTTCCATGGAAAAATATATATTCCCTTCCCTCAATACTGTCTCTTCATTCTCTTTTGTGATGCTCAACATCTTTCGTAGAGCAATAATACGATGGCCGAAATCTCATGATGTTGGCGTTGTGTGTTCAATCATCTTTTTTTGTAAGCATTGTCATCTTCCTCGGTGAGATTGAGTACCATCTTCAAGTATGTTGTAGTGATTGGGACTCAAAGCACAGCAGTGAATGTCAGTGTGAGAAAACAAGAGGTCAGTTCGCTTCGAGAGTCAATAGATTAAACCTTCATACTTCTGTTTTCTTCTTTAACCTCAGCCGCTCCGAATTATCTTGAGATACGCTCTTCTCGCCATCATCCATTTCTGAGTGCGTCAAACTCTCGTCCTCTTCCTCGTTCTCTTCTCCATAGGGAGAGATGGGTGAATATGCACAGTTTAAAGAGATGTTGAGTGGTGGCGGGCTGAAGGGGGCGTTTCGGGTCGTGGTTTTGGCATCTCTGATGGCGTTTATAGGGTACGGTGTGGCCGCTTCCCCGGGGCATTCCCGGATCTCGCCAGGCTCCAGGGGCTCGGGGCCGCAGGGGTCGTGCTCGCTGCATGACAGTCGCCCATCCAGTTTGGATATGAAAAGCATGCCGTCTCGATGTTCCACACAATAGGAACTAGGGCACATCTCACAGAAGGACGCTGCTTCCTGTCCACACAGGTCACACTGATGCCAGGGACACTCCCAACGACCTGAAACGCAAAACCAGGTTCTTGGTTTCTCGGTTACGTATGTAACCCTCAATCCCTACAGGAGGGAACGGAGGCGGGGATCCCAAAACGTCGAACGTGACCGACTGAAAGGGAACTCTTTGATAGAGTTGCTTCCAGCTGTAATTTGCACTAGTATTGAACTAAACTGAATCAACACTGAGCTTGAGAATACTGACCTGCAGGTCTCTTGGTGAGATTGAGGCAGTCGGCGTGGTAAACCTTGGGACAGCCGGGCCTCTTGCAGGACACAATCTGTCCTCCGTCTCCGCAGCTGAAGCACTCATCCTCCCGCTCCTTGATTACCTGCTGGGATTTGCGCTTCATGTGGGACCTCTTCTTCAGTTTACGGCCTTTATCATCGGATGGGGGGTTGTTCTGATAGACACAGAGTTGATGTCTAACTACAATCACTTATCAAAGCAGAAAGGATCACTGAATTTGACAAAAAAAACGGGTGGATTTACATTAGAAATAAAGTCCAGACCTTAAAGGAGTTGTTCACAACTTTTGCTGATAATTTACTCGCCCCCGTGTCATCCAAGATGTCCACGTCTTTCTTTCTTCAGTCGAAAAGAAATTAAGGTTTTTGATGAAAACATTCCAGGATTTTCTCCATATAATGGACTTCAATGGGGACCAAATGAGAGTTTCAGTGCAAACTGTTCAAAGGGCTTTAAACGACTCCAGACGATGAATAAGGGTCTTATCTAGGACCCTTCGAGTCATGACTCGAAAAAAGATTCGTTCATTTTGATGAACAGGAGAGTCACGAACGCGCATTACAGAACAGAGCAAGGCGAGCATTTGAGCTTATAAAACTCAAACTTTGTTATTTATTTATTAAATGAGCGATCGTTTCGCTTGATAAGACCCTTATTCATCGTCTGGAGTCGTTTAAAGCCCTTTGAACAGTTTGCACTGAAACTGTCTTTTGGTCCCCATTGAAGTCCATTATATGGAGAAAATCCTGGAATGTTTTCATCAAACACCTTAATTTCTTTTCGACTGAAGAAAGAAAGACGTGGACATCTTGGATGACACGGGGGTGAGTAAATTATCAGCAAAAGTGTTTTGAAAAGTGAACTACTCCTTTAAATTCATTGAAAGTCTTTGGGATGAGCAGGAGAAGACTTGCATGATCTTACACGATCACGACCAAAAATGTATGATCAATGCAATAATGATCCAGTCATAGACTCTTAACCATAAAACCGTATTCTGGACAAATGTTGTCAAAATAGTTTTGATTTATTTTTTTAAAAATACTTCCCTTGATCTGAGCGGTACAAGACTTGGCTCCTGAACACACACACAATTTTTTTGACTCAATTCTACAATGTTAAGTGGGTGACAAAAAATCCTTTATCTTGTATTTGGGTCAAAAATGGGCACCCATAGAAATGAAATGAATGGGAAAAACTGTAATTTAGAGCATTCTAAAATAAGCCAAAATAAGACACGAGGTGACAGCAAAGTCACTTCATCTTTAGGTTTTAGATCGAAGAACTTATTGGAATGATATTTTAATGTAGTTAAAAAAATAAAACATAAAAATAAGCACAATTTACCTAGAAAAAATTGTACTTTTTGAAGTAAATAAATAAAAAATTATCCCCAAAATAAAAAATAAAAAACACCATAAATGGATAGACAAAAGTTTATCGAAGACAGTGATATAACATTTATAATAAATAGAAATTAGGATCACACCTGAGTCCTCTCTGCCCACATTTGTCCACATTTACAGGATTAAGGGCTATAAAGTGAATACGGTTTGTTTGCCTATCCAAACAGCGTTTTTAAGTTTTGGCCCGGCAGTGTATCGTTTTATATCAGACAAATCAATGATCAATCTATAACATTACGTTATACTATATTAGATCATCTGCTTACCTTTGGCCTCACTCCCAGGAATCCACTGCAGTTTGATGCTCCACACTTGCACACGGTCTTCCCATTGCCCAGACACTCAAGGTTATAGTTGAACGTTAACTCAGTGCCTTTGAAGAAAACACACATCAATGTTTTTAGCACAAAGCCAAAGAGTCTTCTACATAAAAAGAGTTTGACTCACCAGCAGGGATATCTGTGAGCGCAAAAAGCCCAACGCGAGTGTCTCCGTTGACCGTCCACTTTTGGGTCTCGCAGTTCGGCTGGCAACTGTGGTTCATAAAACGGGCTTCATTTCCCTTGGGCCCGGCATCGATGATCCGATCCTTCCAGAGACCACAAAGCAATATATTCAGCTTCTAGAACAGAAATCTTAGGAGATAAAGAGACACTAGTGTCGTAGTTTCAGAAACTCACTTTGTCCAACGTAAGCATGTAGAAGTTGCCGATGTTGTTCTCCTGAGCGTGTTTAATCCGGGCACGGCATTCTTCCTCGTCAATCACCTCGCCAACATATTCGTTAACAAATCCTCCCTTGGGTCAAGCGGTAAAAACAAACACTTGTTTAGAGACTGGACAAGATAAAGCTGGTTATATCCACATCGGCTCTCGGTGGAGACATTATAAGGGGAAGAACTGAGACGGACTAATTGTTAAAAGCCCAACATTAATAAAAAGTCAGTCGCTTTTGAAAGTTTGCTTACTCTAAAACCAAACCCAAACACAGTTTTTGGTGTGATTACAGAAAGAGAAGAAAAATTATGATATTGTTGATTCTTAGATGTAGGTGTCTTTGTTTCTGCAGAAGTTTCAATTTTGATATTTTGTCTGTCAGTCATATAATGGAGGTCTATGGTCACCACCTCAAAGAGCAGCACAGAGAAGTTCAAATTAAACATGATTTAATGACTCGTAAATGTAAGTACACATTGATGGCCTAAGACACGAAACGAGCGGTTTGTGTGAGAAAACCAACAGTATTTATAGCGTTTTTACCTCTTGTAACCACAGCCAGTCCTTGTGATCTTCATAAAAACGATATAAATACTGTTGGTTTTCACACACAAACCGCTCGTTTCGTGTGTTAGGCCATTACATTTACGAGTCATTAAATCATGTTTAATTTGGACTTCTCTGTGCATGCTCTTTGAGGTGGTGACCATAGACCTCCATTATATGACTGACAGACAAGAACGGTTTGACCTAAAAATATCAAAGACACCTACATCTTGGATGCCCTTGAGGTAAGATAAAACATACCAAAAATTAATTTCAAAGTGAACTATCCCTTTAATTTATTGCGAGTATTGTTTTATTGTTTCGAGCATGCGGACAGTTCTGGAACACGAACTTTCTAGCTGTTGATAGTGTGGTCTGCACGAATGATGTTTGAGACGTGAAGGACGCTCACCTTTTTGATGTCGTGTACACAGCGCAGTCCCCAGCCTCGAGACAGCGTCCTGAAGATCTCCACCTGGCAGTACTGCCGTTTGCTGAAGCCCTGGTTCTGGCAGCGCTCGCCCGCGGGGCAGACCTGCGGGTGGCATTCGTACAGCAGCATGCGGTTGATGCACTCCGAGTCCATCCCGCAGGGGTTCTCGTCTGCCGCTTTGCAGTTGCAACGGGGAATCTCCGACAGGTCTGCTGAGATGATCAGCACTTTGCCAATTGGTTTGTTCACCTATTGGATTTAATCAAGATAAGATTACAACATACCATCGTAGCGATCAATCTCGTAGTGGGCCTCGTGTGGTCATGTACCTTAATATGTTTGTATGGTGGAGGTTTCTTGTAAATTTGTCGGTCCTCCTGGAGCTGCCGTAGTTCTTTCTCCGCCTGCAGTTCTTTGAACCTTCGAGCAGCTTCTTCCAAAGCTAAACCACATTCAACATTTTCATTTCAGACATTTTCATTTGATCTCTGATCATGTAAGAACACTAGGTTTTTACATGAGATAGCTGTGTGTGCAAATGTCGCCTTCACGATGCTGGGGTTGTGGATGGTTGCGAAGGCATTGCTACGAAGCCATTAAAGAAGTAGTTCACTTTTGCTGATAATTTACTCGCCCCCGTGTCATCCAAGATGTCCACGTCTTTCTTTCTTCAGTCGAAACGAAATTAAGGTTTTTGATGAAAACATTCCAGGATTTTTCTCCATATAATGGACTTCAATGGGGACCAAAAGAGAGTTTCAGCGCAAACTGTTCAAAGAGCTTTAAACGATTCCAGACGATGAATAAGGGTCTTATCAAGCGAAACGATCGCTCATTTAATAAATAAATAACAAAGTTTTACTTTTATAAGCTCAAATGCTCGCCTTGCTCTGTTCTGTGATGCGCGTTCGTGACTCTCCTGTTATCACAATGAACAAATCTTTTTCCGAGTCACTTGGTTCATTCAACAAACGAAACGAACGAATTGACTCGGAAAAAGATTCGTTCATTTTGATAACAGGAGAGTCACGAACGCGCATCACAGAACAGAGCAAGGCGAGCATTTGAGCTTATAAAAGTTAAACTTTGTTATTTATTTATTAAATGAGCGATCGTTTCGCTTGATAAGACCCTTATTCATCATCTGGAGTCGTTTAAAGCCCTTTAAACAGTTTGCACTGAAACTGTCTTTTGGACCCCATTGAAGTCCATTATATGGAGAAAATCCTGGAATGTTTTCATCAAAAAACCTTAATTTCTTTTCAACTGAAGAAAGAAAGACGTGGACATCTTGGATGACACGGGGGTGAGTAAATTATCAGCAAAAGTGTTTTCTAAAGTGAATTACTCCTTTAACAATTATACATCACTTTTAAATGATTACATACGAAATGAAGTAGTTTGGTGTTCGGAATATTAACTTATATGCACTGTAATTCACTTTAGCATTTAAAAATTACATTTACATTTAAAATAGAAATGTTAACACCCGTTTTATCACTCACTGAGCTAAAAATGTTAATCTGCGTTAGAAATAGCGGTACCAAAAGCAAGCGACGACAATTAGTTGCAGAAGGTATACCTTTCTTATAGGTGGAGTCGACTCCCTTTCCCATTTTCTCTTTACTGTTGGCATCGCCCTCCATGTACGGGAACACACGGGCTTGGTAAGTCCACAGGTAGTCATTAGAGCCGAAGAAAAGCACTGGGAACTCTCCGACGTCATGTCTCATGCGCAGGATATTCTCGGGAATGTTTTGGGGATTGCTAACCTCTGCCGGCCACCATCTAACACACAGTAGAGCAGAAACTGTAGTTGAGCACGCTGACTGTACCAAACAGGAATGAGGAGGGTTGGTGGTGTGTGTGTGCTGACCTGTAGCGGCCCACTTTGACCCACACTACCTCCTTATAGTGCGGTTTCTTTCCAGCGCGACAGTCGTTGCAGTACCAGCTGCCTTCGGGCATGTCGATGTTCAGACACTCTCGGTGAAAGGCCGCAGGACAGGACTCGCAACACAGCAGACTACCTCCTGTAGAGGGAAGTGAGACGGACACAGAGAAGTGTAGCTTCTTAGGGAAGTTCTGAATTACTAAAGCCATTAATATAATGCAAACGATTTAGTGCCGAACGAACCTTCTGAGCAGACGAAGCACCAGCTGACGTTGACGTGCTCGTGGTTGCGGCAGCCTTTTCTGGGGGTGAAGTGGTTGGGACACACGATGTTGCTGTGGGTGAGCGTGGCACTGCCGGCAGGAACGCAGTTATCGTTGGCGTGATATGCCACAGGGCATCTGATACAGCGGGTTAGCTGGCCTGGACACAAAATACAGAGAATTTCATAATAAAAGCACCCACATTTGAAAAATGATGTGCTAAAGATCGATTTGAACTTCGTTTTGGCCTGAATTTGTTCGAATTGACGTACGTTTTTTTTTTTACGCATCAGGCGAAATAGGACATTTAAATGTACATGCTTATTTTCTTTTTCCGTTTTTAAATTTAGGCTAGATCTCACTTGAAATGAATCTTTAAAAACACAAAAACCTGTGAATGTCATACTTAGCAAATCTCAAAATTAATATAATATTAATTGTTCATACTGTTGTGATGCACGAATTCACCAAATTCAAATGATTGATTTTATTTTATAAGTATTTAATTTTACATAGCATAGAATTTTCATATCAGCCACGACGTGTAATAATCATGGGCTTTATCTGTAGTGTTCACTTTGAAATTAATTTTTGGTATGTTTTATCTTACCTCAAGGGCATCCAAGATGTAGGTGTCTTTGTTTCCGCAGAAGTTTCAATTTTTATATTTTTAGGTCAAACCGTATCAGTCATATAATGCAGGTCTATGGTCACCACCTCAAAGAGCAGCTCAGAGAAGTCCACATTAAACGTGATTTAATGACTCGTAAATGTAAGTACACATTGATGTCCTAAGACACGAAACCAGCGGTTTGTGTGAGAAAACGAACAACATTTATATCGTTTTTATCTCTTTGGACTTCTCTGTGCTGCTCTTTGAGGTGGTGACCATAGACCTCCATTATATGACTGATACGCTTTGATCTAAAAATATCAAAATTGAAAATACTGCGGAAACAAAGACACCTACATCTTGGATGCCCTTGAGGTAAGATAAAACATACCAAAAATTTATTTCAAAGTGAACTATCCCTTTAATATTCTGGTCAATGATTATTTCATATATGATAATAATATCGGAATACTTAGTTTGCAAGATAACATCGCACTGGTCCAATAAACAAATTGTTGCCCTGATGATGAGATAACTCACCTAATTAAAAATTACAACTTTATTGGACCAAACACTTGTAAAGATATTGCAATTCCCAGGTGGAATTGTGTTTTTTAAGGCAGAGCACAACAAACCTTTAGATATGGACGGATTGGTAGGGTTTGTGATGAAACACGCCAGGCAGACGTGGAGAGGGCAGCGAAAGGCCCGGTTCAGAGGTACAGTGGGTGCATGGCTGGCGGCGCACTCCCCATGGTAGAACTTCCCACATCCAGGAAGCATACAGCGCCTGACGTCCTCACCCGGGATCTTACAACTGAAGCATGAGTGGATACCTGTTCAGAGATTCACCAACACCAGCCATCAAAAGCGGTGAAATTACCTTGTTGGTTTGTGATTTATGAAGCGGGCACTCACCAGACGTGCACTCCTGACATAGAAATGTTCCTGTGGGAGGCGCGTTCAGACCAGTGCATTGTGGGTGGAATGACCCACAGCATTGCCCTTCGCACAGAAGGAGATCGCCCTGCTTCTCACACGCCTTCAGAAACAGCAGACGAGGAGGTCATCAAATCAATTTGCTAAAACACCCTAAAGATCAAGATCACTTCCTTGAAACATCTTAAAGGAGTAGTTTTATTCACCCCCGTGTCATCCAAGATGTAATCAGACGATGAAGTAATCTTTTTTCGAGTCATTTCGTTCGTTGAATGAACCAAATGACTCGAAAAAAGATTCATTCATTTTGATGAACAGGAGAGTTACGAACGCGCATCACAGAACAGAGCAAGGCGAGCATTTGAGCTTATAAAACTTAAACTTTGTTATTTATTTATTAAATTTCGCTTGATAAGACCCTTATTCATCGTTTGGAATCGTTTAAAGCCCTTTGAACAGTTTGCACTGAAACTGTCTTTTGGTCCCCATTGAAGTCCATTATATGGAGAAAAATCCTGGAATGTTTTCATCAAAAACCTTAATTTCTTTTTTCGACTGAAGAAAGAAAGACATGGACATCTCGGATGACACGGGGGTGAGTAAATTATCAGCAAAAGTTTTTTGAAAAGTGAACTAATCCTTTAAGGGATAGTTCACCCAAAAATTGAAAATTAACCCACACTAGGAGTACTATATATGACACTCTTCTTTCAGACGAATACAAATAAAAAAAATGTCCTGGCTCTTCCAAGCTTTATAATAGCGGTTTCTGTTTTGAAGTCCATAAAAGTGTATCTATCCATGATAAAAGCTGCCTTTTGAAGTGAAGTGATGCGTTGGTGTAAGAAAAATATTAATATTTAACAGGTTACAAAGAAAATTTCTAGGTTCCAGCCAAACGAACATTCGCAGTCTAAAGCGCAACTTATGGCGTCTGAAATAGCGCAAATATCAGCAGTAGTACGTCACATAAGTTGCACACTTTAGACTTAAAGGGATAGTTCACTTTGAAATTAATTTTTGGTATGTTTTATCTTACCTCAAGGGCATCCAAGATGTAGGTGTCTTTGTTTCCGCAGTAGTTTTAATTTTGACATTTTTCAGTCAAACCGTTCTTGTCTATCAGTCATATAATGGAGGTCTATGGTCACCACCTCAAAGAGCAGCACAGAGAAGTCCAAATTAAACATGATTTAATGACTCGTAAATGTAAGTACACATTGATGGCCTAAGACACGAAACGAGCGGTTTGTGTGAGAAAACCAACAGTATTTATATGGTTTTTACCTCTTGTAATCATAGCCATGACAAAATGATCTGACGGCACGGGCGCTTCGGTCTGGAAGTGATCGCTACGTCACTCTTTGTTTATACAGAGATTTCGGAAGTTTTACCTTTCACTAAACATATTTAGATATACGGGAAACTGCAATGGAAGACGATTTCGGTATATCTAAATATGTTTAGTAAAAGGTAAAACTTACGAAATCTCCGTGTAAATACTTCGGTTCAGTTGGACATTGAACAACTGATTCAGATCACTGTGATTACACGAGGTAAAAACGATATAAATACTGTTGGTTTTCTCACACAAACCGCTCGTTTCGTGTCTTAGGCCATCAATGTGTACTTACATTTATGAGTCATTAAATCATGTTTAATTTGGACTTCTCTGTGCTGCTCTTTGAGGTGGTGACCATAGACCTCCATTATATGACTGACAGACAAGAACGGTTTGACTGAAAAATGTCAAAATTGAAAATACTGCGGAAACAAAGACACCTACATCTCGGATGCCCTTGAGGGAAGATAAAACATACCAAAAATTAGTTTCAAAGTGAACTATCCCTTTAAGAGCGTTTGGCTTGGTGTACACGGGCTCAGCACACCTACCTGACACAGGTTTTCACTGAGTAAGATGCTGCCACCGTTCTCCTCTGAGAGTCCTTTATTATCCGAGACTCCTTCATCAGATTGTGGATTTTCTTCTCTTTCCGAACACAAGCCATAACTAGATTCAAACATCTGAACCAAATGCCAGATATTCCGGTTATTTAATTCAGTGAACATTTAGAAGGATTGAGTTAAATCATGTTCATTGAATCCTCTGGCTGATTAGAAGCAGTCGTATAGGTCTACCCAATAAAATGAACTGACCTCTGAACTTGAGCATCTGAGAGCATCCGAGTCGTCCTCTGCTGATTCTGGGTCAGCTGGATGAGGCATCGCAGGAGCAACTTTTATCTCCATCTCTGTGCTTTTTAGGATTGGGTCAGTTGGTTTGTCGATGGACTCAGAAGACAGCTTGTTCTTACTTTTGGATGATTGTTGTCCCATTCCTTCATTTACAATACAATTACAAAAGGCACCAAATAAACTTGACAATAACATATGCCACATCTTCTAGAGCTTAAAGGGTTCGTTCACCCAAAAATGAAAATTCTGTCAGTATTTACTCACCCTCATGTTGTTCCAACCCCGTAAGACCTTCGTTCATCTTCGCAACACAAATTAAGATATTTAAGATATTAAGATCGCTCCTGCATACTAGTCCATAGGCTTCTTGACTCGAAAAGTCATTAAAGACATCGTTAAAATAGTCCAAGTGACTACAGGGGCTCAATCTTAACTTTATCAAACGACGAGAACACTTTTTGTGCGCAAAAAACAACAAAAATAACGACTTTATTTCAACTATTCACTTCCTTCTCCATGGGCCTGTAGTCAGTTAACGTAGTGTGATTGCGTAAAGCTACGTCACACGTAGGCTCACTATTGGCCGACGCTGGTCATGTGTGTGATGCGTGTGACGTACAATAACAGAAGCTTACGCTATTAAACTAGTAACCTGACTCGCGCAGAGGAAGAAATAAACCAATAGTTGAAATAAAGTCCTTATTTTTGTTGTTTTTTGCGTCGTTTGATAAAGTTAAGATTGAGCCCCTGTAGTCACTTGGACTATTTTAACGATGTCTTTAATGACTTTTCGAGTCAAGAAGCCTATGGACTAGTATGCAGGAGCGATCTTAATATCTTAAATATCTTAATTTGTGTTGCGAAGATGAACGAAGGTCTTACGGGGTTGGAACAACATGAGGGGGAGTAAATACTGACAGAATTTTCATTTTTGGGTGAACTAACCCTTTAAAACATCATTTTCAACTAGATTAGATTATTGCTGAAAATGTAACTGATGGACATACATATTAAATTTCCCAAAAGCACCGTTAGCCATCTCAGTCGTTATCAGCGTAGTCTGTGTTTCCCGAAACCATTGTTCCAATGAACATTAGCAAACGGCATCAAAAAGTTGTGTGTTTAGAACGACAACTCATGTCATGTGGACTTTATGTGGACCGAAATGAGCAAGCTGACATTTTGAATACATATAAATATAATTTACATCTTTTAGTTTGTCAAAATATTTAAAGCAGTGTGCATGTGCATACGTGCTCTAGAACATGAGAACGAGCCTATGATTGAATCCGGAAATAAAGCAAGATTAATGCGTGACGTCATTAGCCAATGTGGTTGAATGGCAAATTTGCGTCAATACGGTTTCGGGAAACTTAACTACGCACTTCTCGGAAAACGTGGCCCGTTGAATTGTCTCTGATTGTTGGCTATGTCCCTAAAATAATGAAGTTGTCCAACATATTAATATTATGATTTTAATAAAAGCAGTCAAACCTGATTTTGTAGCTTGTCCAGATGAGCACATCTTCTGTGACTTCGCCTGTGAATGATAATACTCTTAGCCCAATATTCATTTGTCCTTATGTCATTAGACTAACTTTTTAAATCATACCTTTCTTTTAGAAATGAAAACTGGTTCGGCTTCAATGGAGCTTTCTAGAATCTTTTGGGTGGGTTTCCGTTGTCTCTTTGTGCTTAGACACACACCATCACCTATTCAAATGATGAATAATCATTTCTTTTTGACTGTTTTTTTTTTTTTTTTTGTTGTTCTGAGAAAAAGTAATGAAAACAATAAATAAACTAAAAGTGGTTCTGGCTTACACTAGGGTCTACATATGACGATTGCACATTGTAAAACAATGTGATCATTTGAGTATTTGTGAGTATTTTGAGTATTTGTGAGTATTGTGATCATTTGAGTATTTGTGAGTATTGTGATCATTTGAGTATTTGTGAGTATTGTGATTATTTGAGTATTTGTGAGAATTGTGATCATTTGAGTATTTGTGATTATTGTGATTATTTGAGTATATATGAGTATTGTGATTATTTTAGTTTTTGGTGGTATTTTGAGTATTTGTGAGTATTGTGATCATTTGAGTATTTGTAATTATTGTGATTATTTGAGTTTATATGAGTATTGTGATTATTTGAGTATTTGTGAGTATTGTGATCATTTCAGTATTTGTGAGTATTGTGATCATTTCAGTATTTGTGATTAGTGTCATTATTTGAGTATATGTGAGTATTGTGATCATTTGAGTATTTGTGAGTATTGTGATCATTTGAGTATTTGTGAGTATTGTGATCATTTCAGTATTTGTGATTATTGTAATTATTTGAGTATATGTGAGTATTGTGATCATTTGAGTATTTGTGAGTATTATGATCATTTCAGTATTTGTGATTATTGTAATTATTTGAGTTTATATGAGTATTGTGATTATTTGAGTATTTGTGAGTATTGTGATCATGTGAGTATTTGTGAGTATTTTGAGTATTTGTGAGTATTGTGATCATTTGAGTATTTGTGATTATTGTGATTATTTGAGTTTATATGAGTATTGTGATTATTTGAGTATTTGTGAGTATTGTGATCATGTGAGTATTTGTGAGTATTTTGAGTATTTGTGAGTATTGTGATCATTTGAGTATTTGTGAGTATTGTGATTATGTGAGTATTTTTCCAAACAGCCATAAAACGAGTGAATTTCTTCATAATTATGTAAACCTTCAGAAAAAGCTACTCACCAATGGCCAAAGCATTTTGTCTTTGAATCGGCTCCTCGTGGCAAAGTTCAGCAGGGGGTGATGGGATTGTTTCTGGAGGTGGAGTTAGCGTGTCAACAGACAACACTGGACTCTCTTGACCTGGCGTGGCATTTACTGAAGGAGCGCTCTGAGACGTGTCCTCAGGGGGAGGAGTCTGTAGTTCCGGCAGGGGTCTCGACACGCCTCCTTCTGTTACCTGAGGATTCGGGATACGTCCTCCGCCACATATCTCCTCCACTGGACCACTGCAAACGTGGCTTTCGACCTATTCACAAGTTGTCAGAACGTTAAAGCGAATTCCACAATTCAAGATAACGAACACATCCAAACGTAGCTAACCTTAGTAAACGACTCCGGTTTCTTTTTCGCTTTCTTCTTAGTGGAAAACAACTGATCGTATTCCTCTGTCCATTCGATGAGTCTTTTGCTAGGTTTTCGAATGCGTTTACATTCTGTGAAAAGCACAAACATTTCTGAGCCCACTTTAAAACTGGCACAATCTCTAGATGATATTAGCATTGTGTATCTTACCTGTAGGGTAGTTGGCTTGAGCGTTTTGTAATGCATTGATGGAAGCTGAAGAAAAAGACTCAACTATGCCACCCACCAAAACTTCGCCATTTTCCGAGGGTAATCCTTTCGTCTCGTGAACACAACCTCCTTCAATCTCATGCAACTTGTTATTGGCTTGGTCAAACTTTTGCCAACGCTTTTTGGGCACATTGGCTGAGAACTGAGCTGAGGTCTCTGGTTTCTCAGATATCAGTTTCTCACACGAGTCGTCGGTTTTCTTTTTCCAACTCATTTTTTTACAGGGATTTTCCGGGATACTCGGCTTCGTCCCAGATTTCAGCTTCGTCCTCTTCTGTTTGGATGTGATTTTCCCCAATTGACATTTTTTTGTACGTACAGTGGTCAGCTCATCCTTCACATTGGGAATCAGTGATGGCTCCTCTTTGATAAGTTCATTTTTGGGTAACGGTTCGATCGCCAATGCCGTTCCATCGTTTTTCCGGCTATCGTGCATGTCCTTGAGCATCATAAGGAATGTGCTGAACTTATAGTTTGCATCAGGATGAAACGAAAGGGGCTGGCCTGCTAGTGATTTGAAGGTTAATTCTTTCATGTTGTCCATTTCTTCCACACTTAGGCACAGAGATGGAGTAGAACTAGAAGATAAGTCAGAAATGCGACTCTCTTGTTCGAGTTTGGATGTATGAAAGGCAACGGGTGCTTGAGATATCAAAGATTTGACTGAATGTTCATTGTTTTTGCAACTTTGAAGATCGGATGAGTCTTCTTCCTGATCACAGCTTGGACTCTTCTGATTGTTGTCTAGATCTGTGGACGACACACAATTCCCCGTTTCAACATTTGAGGTTGGCTCTTGTTTCTTTATCCACTCTTCCTCCTCCATCGCCTTCAGCGCTCTCGTCATCAGCCGACTACTTGCCGGAAGGCACTTGACTCTCCTGCCGAGAGCTTTCCTGGCTTCGGTTGATAGATGCTCAAGTCCGGTGATTTGGTTGTCCTTGGGTTTCATGCTTGCTGAATCTGGCATCTTAATTTTACAAGATACCTTCCCAAAAGAACAGTTCACAGATTTAATTCCCCCATTGACTTGACCTTTCCCTGTTTTACTGAACCAAAGGCCACCCTGGTTCTCCACATTCTTTTTCGGTTCTTTGTCATTTGCGACGGGAAGCCGACTCGAGTTTGATTGTTTGATGTTTGATGTTCGCTCAGAGCTTTTGGGACATCTGCGGATCTGTGGCACCGAATCAATGTCAGAGTAGGGACTGTCCAAGCCTTCCATCATCTTATCCTTCTCATAATGAAACTCCTCCGATGGTTTCAAACGTGTTGACGACTTTCTTTGTTTCTTTTTGTTTTTAGACCCCTGATTATGGGCTGAGGCGTTCCCATTGCTCAGACGACTAATGTTGGGTAATTCCACTTTGTTTTCTGTGTTATTTGTGGTTCCTCCAGAGATTGATTGGAAGAAGTCTGAGCATGGAGAGGTGACCCTTGGTTTCTCCAGGAGAAGAAGTGCTTCGGCTTCAACCACACTAGCTCTCCAAGAGTTCAGAAAACGCTTGGGTATCTGCAAAGTAACCCAAGAGTAACAATTTCACAAGGGTTTTAAAAAGCTCACAATATCCATTTTACTGAAAGGATGTTTCAGAAATTACAGAGTGTCTGGCGTTTTCGTCTTGTTGGCGTCCACTTCCTTTCACAAAAGGGAGATTGTTAAATTGATATCCACCCACAAATATATGAGTAGATCGCTCAGGAACCCATGCTTGTTCTTCGGGTTCCCCAAATGTCTTGAGGAAATACTGACGACTGGTCCTGTCTGGTGGCTCTGAAACAAGACAATACACATTTCTGTGGGTGGATTGTGTGGAAAAAAGTGACTGAAAAGTCGGGAAGGGCTTCTGTGGTTGTGTACTTACCTTTAATTCTGTGGTAAACGTCCTCAACTGGGTGAACGGTCACCTGACAGGGCCACCATGGTCTACGGTTGAATTTAGCCCATATAACTTCACCCTCCAAATATTTCACTGGTGGTAGAGCCTTTCTTGTGCTTTTTTTGGTCTGCTGGTAGATATAAATTAGGATCATTATGTTAAAAGAATACATAAAATAATATAGGCCTACAAGAAAACATGTTTTGTCCATCCCATACCCATATTTTAAATCAATCCATGATTACATTCATTGTTAGCCTATGTGTTTGTTTCAGTTTTTCCCTTTTCATGCATCTCTTTGTCATTTTAATATTTAAAGTGCCATTCAGATGCAAAAGCCTCTGAGTGCCATTTGAAATTTTCTTCTAGAATGATCATTTTTATCAAGCTTGTATATTTAAGTTCATTAATTTGACTTAAATAGGAATGAAGATTACCTATGAATTGTCATTTAAGTGAAATTACAGAACTTAAATATACAAGTTTGATAAAAATGATCATTCTAGAAGAAAATTTCAAATGGCATTTAGAGGCTTTTGCATCTGAACTCTTCATATAAGTTTTAAATACGACAATTAATGCATATAAATATCAATGCATTGTCAATCATTTTAAATTTAAAAAAAAAAATGCTTATTAATAATATCCATTTCTGATTCGTTTACAGATAATAGATGACGTTTCTTCAACATAAGAAGAAAACTATGTTGTTCCCTCGTCATCATAGGATCTCGAGGCAACCATACAAAAATATTTACATTTAAAATTCACATAACATTGAGAATATTTTCATAAATGATCAACTATATTATTTTATTGATGATTTCAACGTATTAATAACTAAAATGATGTATATTGACATGTTCCTAATTTTAAAAGTTTCCAGAACGGCTGAAATCTTCGTATCTATATTAATATTGGTGAACTTGCCATTACAATCCCGGCAGGCGTGCTCACAAGAGACGAAATCCCGCAATCACTTGTGGACTTGTCTTCAAAGACGACTTCTTTCCCCAAGGAGGAGCGAGCCTTTGAGATTTTGCTTCTAGCCTTGACATCTAATTTTGTGTTTAAATTTTGTTCTCTTGTCGAGGCTCTTTCCAGCCGAGACACCGTCTCTGGATCCGGAGCTTCATCCTCGTCCTCGTCTTCAAACAGAAGTGACTCGAAGTGCAGGCCATTTGCAAACGGACTGGACGAGTCCAGACTAAAATCAGGGCTGGGTGGAGACGTGCCGCTGTCAGTCACGGCCGCATCCATTTTGCTACAACACACCAATCTGAGTTAATTATGCACACATAGTTTCATAGCGACAAATATGAGTAAACTATGGCTCCTAACCCATGGACAGGTGAGACAGGAAGGGCCAGGGTCAAAGCAAAGTGTCTGTCTGCCAATGGGTGACGTTTTCCATATACTCAGTCAAGCAGATCCAGGACCTGTGAACAAGTACACCAATGTGTCGGATTACTGAGAGTAAGCAAATGTGACCTAACTGCACCATTATCTGAAAAACAAATAGTAAAGAATGGTAGTAATAGTAAAGCACTGTTGTTTGCAAGTGTATGCAAAAATGTTGGCCTAAATTTGCTTTACATCTTCATCTAAACCTTTTAACTACATAAAAATAAAAGGAGTTATGTATTATATTTTATATAATTACATATTTTCACTTGTTTAAGCCAAATCCAGTGTTTTACTGGATAGTTTTGGCTCATCTGTCCACAAAACATTCTTCCATTAGCCTCATCCACATGGACTTTGTCAAATTTTAGACTAAAATAAAATGTGTCTAGCTGATGGTGGACTCCCAAACACGGACCGGAAGATCTGCAGATGCTACTCCGAGGTTTCTCCTTGAATATTGTTGGAGGGATTTTTGCAGATGATCATTTTTGTTATTGGTAGAGTATAAGATTTGTATTTTCTACAGAAATAGTTTTGCAACCTAGTAAGCATCGTCAACAATTTTTTGTTGACAGGTTCATTCAGTGATATGAGGCTGTCAATCTCCCACTTCTCTAATTACTCCTATTATTAGCCTATATGAACTATTGAATTATTATAATATAATTCTAGATGTTCTTTTATCCCAAAAAAAAAAAAAGATGTTTTCACCAGCATATTGTGCTCAATAAACAAGTGAAATATAGGTATAAATATTTATGAATCATAATTGGATTACACAATATAGTGGCATGTTATGATTAAATGACGACGCGTTAACAAAGTTTCTAGCGTTCGGAACGGATTAATTACGCACTGCTTAGTGCTTACTACTCCGAGTAGGGGAAGTATGGTGTTCCGTTTCGAACATTCTCCACAACACAGGAACGATAGCGGGCGCACATATAACAGAGCGAAGAGTGAACTCTGACACATGATCCACATATAGAAGTATTATATGAGGAGACACAACAGTGACATGCATGTAAAAACTGTGCTCATTGTCACGCGTGCTAATCTCATTAATATTTATAAGCTATTATTTTAATAATATCTCTCTCTCCCGAAAAAAACATCAGAGTATTTCGTTATTTTAAAGCATATAAAACGTGCTGCCTAAGGAAACCCCGGTGGAATCTTACCATTTGAATGTTGGCCAGTGTTATTCATATTGACAACTCTTCGTTTGCGCGCGTCAAATGACCTTTTTCTCCAAATTGTGAAAGTGGATCAAGAAAATCCCAGCCGCAGCTGCAGTAGTAGTAGGCCAGAGAACCTGAGAACACATTCATGCTATCCTCATCACTCTACCCCTTCAACATTAAAAACACATGCATTATAACATTCACACACCGTGAGGGACCTTCCCAGTGCGCGATGTCTGAGTCGCAACGTACCTTTGCGTTACGATGCGGACGTTGTACTTTTCATTTTTCAATGATTCTGCTTTCCTTGCTGTCGACCTGCCCCTGGTCCTGTTTCAAGCCCGTGACTGTATGTGTCTATGAACAGCAGCCAATCGGCACGGCAACCCAACCCCTTGCGAGAGGAGCTCTTCTCAACTCCTGTGCTTCACTTTATCCCAAAACACAATTAAAAACGCCTAAATGCACGCTTAATCACATTTGGCGTCCTTTTAATATTGGGAATATGCAATTAAGATAGATACTTTGCTTTTGTAACGGACATTTCTACCCATAAGTGGTAGGCTTTCCTTTAAGTGCCATGAAATCCTATTCTGAAATACACACAGATTTAACAAACACTCGATGGAAATACGCGCGATTATGTTTAACGTTGGTTATTCAAGATGGAGTCTGATGTAGCTTGGCACAGGCCACAAAGTGTTAAATTTCGATTTGAAGAAGGCTTTTATACGTTCAAGAAGTTGTGACTCGACGTTTTTTTAAATATTAGAGTTGATAAGGGGACTGAGTGTGCGTTCAGCAAAGCTGCTCTATAAAAATGGCATATAAATAGTTTTGTGTTATAAACTATAAACAAGACACATGAATATCGCTGGCACTTCTCTAACCTGGAAACGACATCGAAGCCGTGGCGTGTGAATATATAAACAGCGCGTTTGTTTTTCTCTGCCGTGTATTTATTTATTTATTTATTTATTTAATTTCGTCTGAGGAGAGAGAAAATGGAGGAGTCCGACATCATCTCAGCGACTGTGGCCGGGTTTAATGTCGTGTGAATGTGACATTAGAGCGTTATAATACGACGACAATTGAGCTTTAGATCACGTTTCAATAAACGTAGGCTCATATACTGCTTATCAACACGTCTATTCCAAATCCTGCATAACCCAAATAGTGTAATAGTCCCGTGAGGTTATTTTAAGGGCAGGGCGTGTTTGGGACTCGGGAACCCTTATCATGTCGATTGGTGACGTCGGTAAAGATGTTTTTTAGTGCATTTGCGAAAGAAGATGTCAACATTAGTGTTGATCTGAGAGTTCGTGTTTCAGCAGCGCTGTCTGTGGGCCTGCAGACTCTCTCTCTCGCCTGAACAGCGCCTCCACTGGCAGGAAAGTTTACCAGAACCCATTTATACTCTCAATAAGTCTGTCTGTTCTGTTTTTCAGTCAAATATGACAGGCTATTCATTCAGCCTACACCTGTACTTGCTAATTCAACACACAATGGCATCTGAAATATTGTGCACTGACTGACTAATTAATGAATTCCTGTTGATGGGGTGAGTTCAGGTTGATTGGGACACTTTTTTCCATTGAGATGACTGAGGAAAAGTCCAATCATCCTGAATGCATCCCTATTAATTGAAAGGGGATAGCCTATTGATTACAAATAATGTGTTTTTATGAGTATTATCCTCCACACTTGACACCAATAGACACATGTTAAGTCTAGTTAAGTTATGTTTTTTTTGTTGTTGTTGTTGTCATGTAAGAATAACATTCAAAAGGGTCTACATCTTCAAGAAAAATGTCTAAAAATGTCAAAAATCTATTTCTGGTCAAATTTGATTTACAACAAAACTGGGCTATAAAGCTGCATATCATGCACCAAAGGCCAACGAAGAGATGCCCTGTAAAGGCCTGTAAAAAAAAAAAGGTAATTTTATAGAAACTTAAATCGTTTTATTTTAAAGAATAAACATTACAGGTTTTTTCCAATTGTTAACACACAATTTTGCAAACTAGTCTGGTTTTATCAAAATACTTAACACAATTCACAAAACCACAAAATACCTCATATACCCTGAAGCACTGCAACCGAAACTACACAGCATTATCAAAATCAAACTTTTGCATGAAATGGCACACACTTCATTCATATTATCGGATTTTTGCCTAAACAACTACTCACTGTTGGGTATAATGAAAAGCACTCCTATCTTTAGTATGCTTTGCCATAATACTAAAATGTGTATCAGATTGTTCACATGCACAGAAATATTTGCAGATACACACATGCTGTTGAAACTTCATTTGTAATGTATTTTTCAGTGTATATGCACAGCAGAAGAAATATTTACATGGGACTGAAAAACAATTTCTTACAAAAAACAGTAAACTGAAAAAGAAACTTCCATATATTACAGTAAAAAAAAAAAGTGGCAAGAAAATAATTTTTTATAGTTTTATAGTTTTTATAGTGCTTACATCCTGATTGAAGTGTTACCTGTAACAATTAACCATTGAGGTCTTTGGCGAGGTGGCACATGTAATTGGCCAATTAGCTCATGTAGTGTCATTTTGAATGGTAGTGTTTAGAAATGGCAAACATGTGACTTTATGTCAGATTATTGTGTCTTATGCAGAGAACTGTGCTCAGTGCATTTAAAAAGTGGCATTTTGAAATGCAAAAAAAAAAAAGTTTTGCTCTCTGTGTGTCCGTTTAAAGAATTGTGCTGTGCATGTCATTTTAGTGTGTGTTAGCAATTGGAAAAAACGGAAAAACAAAACTGTAACTGTAATACAACTATAAATTGCAAATGTATACTTTAAAAATTGTTATGCTTTTACAATAACATTTTGCTTATAAGGTCATTTTTGCTTCTAGTTAGTCGTCTTGGTGTTTATATTGTTCTTTTTGGATGAATAATGCCTGTTTAATAATTCTCAAGCCTTCTTTCTTACGCCCCCTGGTGGTCAGCCATTTCTGCTTGACCTATTACCCTTCAAACAATCGTTCAGCAGAGCGTGTGTGTAGTGCAGGACTTGACCAGTTAGACTCAGTGAACAACATTCACTGGATATTGCAGTGTTTGATGCATGTAAATAAAGTGTAATAGTTTTCCTCTAACATTTACAAGAAAAGGTTAATCTGAGAACCGATTTCACATATCAGTACATCACTGAATTAATTTAAAGAAGCAATATTATACATTATACTTTAATTGAAGGGCTATACTTGTACTCAAGCTTTTAATGCTGTTTATGTGGTGTTTTTAATAACCATGTGCCCATCAGTCAACACCATTGCTGAATATATGTGAGTAAACCAGATCGCTGGTGTTTCTGACATCACAAACTCCCTTGCAACCAATCAGGTCAACATGTGATTTAATGCAATATAATTATTTTTATGGCACTTGATTTGGAATTATTCTGTATAATTTTTCTTTGCTTTACCTCTTTTTAGTTCTCCTGAATGTGTTTGTAAATGTACATGTTTCTTCAATTAAAAAAAAACAAAAAGGTCAACATGTGATTGAGTTGCTGCGAGTGAGAGGAGGCGGGGCTAATTTGCATATTCAGAGAACCGCGTGTACAAATGAGGCAGTAGTGTTGAGTTACTTTCAAGCTATTTAAAGTTTTTTTTTTTTTTTTCAAGGAATAATTTTTAATTTTTAACAAACTTTTTTTTTCTGTCATTTTGGGGCTCAAAGACTGTAGGGGGATTTTAACAAACCATCAAATGTAGTAACAAATATGACTGGCAGAGGGCAGCACAACTCAACGAATAATTTAAGAATCTTCCTTCCCCGGGCCCTGTTCCAAATTATACACTTGATGTGGATTTGCTCATACAGCATTTATCATCTTATGATTCTTTTCCTCTTTTTGCGAAGTCTGGACTGAAGCATCGGACTACTTCCCAACAGTCTGTGTGGAAATATGGAGTGGCATTCAGGACAGAGCCATCAGGTGTCCTCGTGTGGATGAGTACAGGCCATCCTGTGCGTTCTGAAGGTGTCTGGTTGTACTCATCCATCTCGGAGGCCCGTGTGTCTGAGTGTGTTTGAGTGTGTGTGTGTCTGAGTGTGTCTTTTCCTGATGTTTGAGATTCCACTGTCCACCCCCGTTGTTTTCCTCCTTAACCTCTGAACCCCGTCATGCATCCCAGCTGACAGCTGTCTTCATTTGTTACAGCTCTCTCCTGCCTCACTGCTGTCCTCCGTTTCCACATCCTCCCTTACTCAACTTTTTAAACGAATTAGCAAATAAAACCATGAGTGGTTGAGAAACATAAATGAGTCACACAAAGTTTTATTGTGCATCCTGTGTAAATGAAGACTGTAGATTTACAGCACAAAGACTTACACAAACTAAATGCACTGCAAAGTCCTCACTTGTCCGAGGAACATAAATGATAAAATAATACAGTTAAAGGCGTAGTTCACTTTTAAAAAACTTTTGCTGATAATTTACTCGCCCCCGTGTCATCCAAGATGTCCATGTCTTTCTTTCTTCAGTCGAAAAGAAATGAAGGTTTTTGATGAAAACATTCCAGGATTTTTCTCCATATAATGGACTTCAATGGGGTCCAAAAGAGAGTTTCAGTGCAAACTGTTCAAAGGGCTTTAAACGATTCCAGACGATGAATAAGGGTCTTATCAAGCGAAACGATCGCTCATTTAATAAAAAAAATAATAAAGTTTATTATTATATTATTATATATAGTATATATTATTATTCTCAAATGGTCGCCTTGCTCTGTTCTGTGATGCGCGTTCGTGACTCTCCTGTTCGAACTCGTTCAAAATCATTTCGTTCATTTTGATGAACAGGAGAGTCACGAACGCGCATCACAGAACAGAGCAAGGCGACCATTTGAGCTTATAAAACTTAAACTTTGTTATTTATTTTTTAAATGAGCGATCGTTTCGCTTGATAAGACCCTTATTCATCGTCTGGAATCGTTTAAAGCCCTTTCAGCAGTTTGCACTGAAACTGTCTTTTGGTCCCCATTGAGATCCATTATACAGAGAAAAATCCTGGAATGTTTTCATCAAAAACCTTAATTTCTTTTCGACTGAAGAAAGAAAGACATGGACATCTTGGATGACACGGGGGCGAGTAAATTTTCAGCAAAAGTTTTTTTTAAAAGTGAACTACTCCTTTAACAATTCAAGCTTGGACTTGTAAACTGGCTTCATGTGAACACTTGATCCAACTGACTGTAACAAATGTCTTAAGATTTCGAGTGAGTTTCAAATGGAAACATTCAGGCAGAGAGTCATTCTCTCCACTAGATGGAGTCGATCGCTCTTCCATTCGCACCGATTCT